TTACTCACTGTCTACACACACATTATTATGTCACGTTGTCACCCTCTTATATATACCAGACTACCCTATATCTAGTAATCTCCCGACAATTCCCGAAGGTTCGAGAGAACGAGTCACATGACCTCGCTGATGCAACACTGCCCCCTCCTTAGTATTGTTCATCCCGACCAATAGCCACTTACAATAAACCAATAACAATTAACAATAACTTAATTAAATGTACAGAATTACAATCACAAAATTACAATTCAATAAAGTCTCTTAATTTTACGGGACGTATCTTCTTCCGTACTGGTCTCCGTCTCGTTGGCTTCTGCTTCATGTGGGGTTCATCTGCTTCATCAGTAAATGTCCTATCATCGATAATAGTCACATCAGTGGTAGTAACTTCACCAAGAGCTTCACCGTTTGAGTTTCTTCTTTGACGGTGGCTTCTTCAGGTGGCATGTCTTCAGCAGCGTCATTTGTTCTGTTGTCCACTTCGTCCCAACTGAAATGTCCTGGACCAAGATAATGCCAAAGCCTGTTGGCATGCACCACTTTTGGCTTACCTCGCCAACCACATTTTACCCGGAAAGTCACGTCTGAGAGACGATCCACTATGTCATATGGGCCTGGCATTATACAACCATACCTTGTCTCCAGGTGCAAAGCTGACTTCAGTAGATCTCTTATCATAAGTTAACTTCATCGAATCAGCAGACGTCTTCAAGTTTGAATGCAATTGATGGTGAATATCATCCATCCTTTCTGATAACACTTTCACAAACTCTGACACATTCTCAGGCAACTCTTCATAAGGTGCGTGTCCCATATGCTTGGGTCCCCTTTTAGCACTACATGTACTGCATGTTCGGCACCATTCTTCCACATCTCGCCTCATACCTATCCAGTAATATCTTTGTCGTATGTGACTCAGTGTCTTCTTGATTCCGAGATGTCCTCCTGTTAAATTATCATGGGATTGACACAGCACAACTTCCCATAACGTCCTCGGTATAACTGTTTGCCAAGACGTCACTTTCCCATCGGTAGTTTGCCATCTCCATACAAGAATACCATCTGCAAGCTTTAATTGTCCCCAATAGTGCTTTGTCACAGGGCTTAGACTAGACACCTTCTCCCAAGCAGGGCGCACAACACTTGCTTCAAATCTTGGTCTTTCTCCTGTTCTGCTT